AACCCATTTGTGAATTCCAAGAAGAGCATGTGTATCATGATTCTGACACAAAGCCAATGACATATGTCGTAAAATCCTTGAGATGTCTGAAGAGATCCGAGCTCCAGGATTGTGAGCATTGTCAAGAGCCTGCATTTTAGATTTATCTTTCTTCACTAGAGTTGCTAGACTTTTTAGTTCTTCAAGCCGCAATGTACAATACTCAACCGTAGCATCTTGAGACTGGAGAGACATACCAGCATTCATCATTGGTTCAGATATACGAGAAAACCATTCTTCACAAACTTTCCGGTTAGCTCGGAAAAAAAGGACACTTTGTGGAGGCGCTGAGGATAAAACAGCAGTCCCCTCGTATGCATTGTACACGTTTTTTTTCAATGCCTCCACAAAATCCAACAGTAACCTCATTGGTAACAGATGGGCACCAGAGGAGCCTAAAATGTTTAGGGTTCCATCAGTTTGCTGGCTATCAACCTGCAGCACAGTCGTGATGTCCAAAAGCATTCGCTCTAGGGCTGCAAAAGTTTGAGCAGGACCACCAAAGTTAGTACGGAGACGTGTACTAACACAAAACCTAGCAGCTTCATGCACAGCCCACCAAGCGCCTGCCAGGTTATTTGCCAAGCAGATTCTCTCGATCGAGCTTTTCTCAGCTTTTATTGCCAACCACCCATTCTTAATCAGGTTTTCATCAGGATGCCCAGCACCAGTATCCTTTGATCCCCGAAAAGCATAGATAAGCCCTTGGATCCAAGAAGCAAAAGGAACTTTCCATCTCTGGGAAACATAATTCAAGACAGAAACCAGTTGCTGCGAGTGAAAATGTTGGTCCGGTTGCTTCAGTGCAAAGACTTGCTTCCAGTGCAAGTAACCGTTTCCTATCATAAGAACTTGGGGCCTAAGAGCCATATTTCCTACCTCACTCCGCATGCCACAAGTGTATTGGGTAGCTGGCAAAAGATGGGAAAGTAACTTAATGAAAGCATTCTTTATACTCGTATCTGGATCTCCAAGCTTTTCAAGGAGGATTTCAGCCAGGGAGTAAAAATGAATTGGGTGTATCAGCTTTACCTCCAGAAGCAGCTCTAAAACCATTACAGACTGACTCCTCACTTTCGGTTCACTATCAAATGCAGCATCTAAAACCGCCATAGTGATATCTCTAACTGCACCAGCATATGGAAATGTTTCACAGAAGTAGGCATCCATATACAAACTCTTTGATATTGCAAATAGGTTCTCACAGAACTTTTGAATCCATTCAAGTGACACTAGCTTTACAGCAAGAGGGGATGAAAAACGAAGAGCTTTAACCATGGTTAAACTGTATTTTCTTAGATGTTCAATTACCATGGAAAAAAATGAACACTTGAATGGTGTCTTTCCCTGATTCGTCTTCATTTTAGGCTGAATTAGCACCGAACAGTTGCTAAGGAGCTCAACTGTAGCTAAACACTCTAACATCCTCACAACGCTGACTTGCAACTCCAAACAGGCATCAATAGCTGGCTCAAAAGGATTCAGCATTTCAACAACGAAGGAAAGTAACTTCTCAGACCTCTTAAGATACAAGACAGCAAGTTCGGGTAGGTCACTCAAACTTTTTCTCCCTCCCAGAGAAACACAGGAAAGAAGAACCTTCATATCAAAGTTCATGATTGCCAAAATTTCACTTTTTGAAAAGGATTCATAGGCTGTAACATTCAAAGTCATGTTTTTGTGGCACGATGATTCCCCAAGTACAGTCTTCAACAACTCAAGTTCTTTCATCAATAATTCCATCGCCTGTTGAACAACTTCTTCACTCTCATGTTGAAGCAAGAATAAATATGTGGCAGAAGAGCCTGCTGTAATTAAATGATTTGGGTGCAATCGCAACTGAGATATTGGAGATTCAAACTGAAGCAACTTCAGCACACATGATGATAGGAGGCCTCGCTTTTGTAGGGACAGTAACTGAAGATTAGTTTTCAAGGTCCCATGGATCTGAAAAGTTGTCATCTTCCCATGGACTGCAGAATTCACAGAATCAATCTGTTCTAAGCTCTTGAACAACATTTCAAGAGAAGGAGAATAATACGTTGAAAATTTTTCGCGCAATATTTCTGCCAAAAGAGTCAAGCACTTCCATAGATCTTCAATCCATTTTGACCATCCAAACCTCTGCCCCATGGTAGATAGGCAACCCAATAGCCGAGGAAGCATTTTGCTCAGAGGTTCGTCCATCTTATCAAGCAGATTGTTCTCTAGTAATCCAGAAGCAGTGGACCGCAATATTGCTAAGAAACAAGAAAGCAAAGCAAGCAACCTGTGAAACTGTTCAGGGGTTCCTTGACTACCATCACTAAGCAAGACGTCCATGTCACCCAGAAACTTCGATAGCAATCCAACTGAGAAGTCTAAATTATTAACCCAATGTTTCTGAAAGTGCAAGAAGCTATCCATGACAATCTGTCTGTCAGAGTCAGCGTGGTCTTGTACTAATGCCCAACCAAGCAACATATCAACAATATCAAGAAAATGAGGATGAAACAAACTAGAAAACTTCGAAGAGATCAACGAAAGAACACCCAAAACTTGATTCAACAAAGGGATAGAAGTTCTCTCATCTTCAAGAAGTCCTTTGCAGGCGTTGAGAATTGGCAAAGCATACCTATCAATCCCATTAACATCCCCAACGGAAACAAACTCCCGTACACCTTCAACTGCAAGTACCGTACTACCATCCCGAACACTAACATGCCTAAGCAACGGTAAAGCCCAATTAATAAAACGATCAACAAGACTCCCTAGCATCACATGGTTTTGCCTTCCACTAGATTCTACAGGAATAGAGCAAACAACAGCACAAAGAGCACCATATGCAGACACACCAGCCTGCCTCACATCATAAGACCTGCACACAAATCAAACATCAAACTTCAGACTCCCCAAAAAACCCTATATCTCACATCAATTCTCAAATAAAATTTGTGATTCAGAGATAATTACTTGTCAGAGAGAAGCTGCCATAGACCAGAAGAAAGATATGAAGCTGAATGAGCAATAAGAAGCGAATTCGGAGGATACTTAATTGCTCTGTGAAGCGACTTCAAGGCAGCGAGACGCCCAGAATCGCTGCTATTTTCTAACTTACTATCTCTTTGTCCCGTCGGAACTGACGCATTGTTACCAGTCGCCGATGAAGAGACGGATTCTGAGGACGGAGGAGTAAGCGTGGAGGGTAGAGGAGAAGCGGAGACGTCAGTTGGTAAAGCCGAAGAGAGCAGCGAAATCAGCTGCTGCTGCTGATGGTGGAAGCTTTGCATCATCAAGTCGATTGAAGCTTCGGAGACGGTGGTGATTTTGACGGCGACAATGACGGTGACCGGATTTGCATCACTTCTTTTTTTTTTTTTTTTTCTTTCTTCGGAAAACTGTTTGGTTGTTTTCTTATATGTAAGAACAAAAGAAAAGTATATGGACAAAATTGTGAAAATGTCAACTAATTTGGGCTTATTTGCTAATATTTCACAAACTATGGGGACTGGATGGAAATATTATAAAATGTATATAACTCTCGTCTCTCAGCTTCCCATATAGTACACATATTTAACGCAGCGGCGGCGGAGCTTATTACTTTGTACCCTAATTTCAGCCGGAGAATTAAAAAAAAAAAAAACTTCGGCGAGGGTAAACGATGTCGTACGACGATGTTGAAATAGAGGATATGGAGTGGAACGAAGAGATTCAAGCGTACACGTATCCTTGTCCTTGTGGCGACTTGTTTCAGATTACAAAAGAAGATCTCCGGCTCGGCGAAGAGATCGCGAATTGCCCAAGTTGTTCGCTTTATATCACCGTCATCTACAATATGGAAGATTTTCAAAACGATACTAAGAAGAATAACGAACCTAAAACTCGTCAGCCTCTTGCCGTCGCCTGAGGTAAATCTCCGATTTTGATTGGATACAATAAGAAACTGGATAGTATGATACTAGTATTGGAGCGTAATTCATGAAAAGCTCTTAAATACTTTCTGGTTGGCTCTGTTTGACATGGTTTTGGTTCCAGTAGTCTTAAGCTTTATTGGATTGTTGACGTATGTGTCATGCTTGAGCTGGTACTGGTTTTGGTGTCAATTGTTTAAGCTTTAGGTAGATATATGATTGCCATATGTTTCATTTTTGAGCTGGTACTTAGTCATTCTTGTGTAAGCTATTTACTTGTATGAATACAGAAACCGTGTTTATCCGAATATTAACCCATTGAGAGGATCCATCTGTAAGTAGAAATTTATGTTTAAAGTTATGGCCGTGAGCTCTTAAGCTTGATTTCTCCTAGATTTTGAAATTTAGACCATGTTATGAAAAAGTTTACTTGCTTTTCTTGAATATTTGTTACTCTTCTCAATACGACTTGTTGGATGTTACCGATATCAGAATTGTACTCAACGTTGGGAGAGCTATATTAGTTTTGTCCTTGAGTTAAGATCCAAAACAATATAAGCTTTTAGTGTTGTTAACGGTATGTAGAGAATGAAGTATTTGCAATGACTGATGATAAGAAGGCAACCTGCAATCACGAAGAATACATCTTAAACCCTATGGCAGGGTTACTTCTGGTGCTTTTTTCGGATTACTTATGTGAGAATATGCTGATTCTTTGCAGGATACTCATGGAATTTATTATAGAAGATTATTCAACAACCACCGCAGAGGAGATTAATCTGTTGTGCAGTGTTTTGGAAAGCATTTTGAAAGTGTGTCACCATCTTTCAGAGTTTTACATTTAACCACATATAGAGAGAGAGATAAACAAGGAAATAGATGTGTTGTGTTAGTGGTCGTTTATGATTATTAATACCGAATTTTTGATGTTTTCTTCCCCATTTAGGTCCGATTGATTATTTAGAGTACTCTCTGTTTTGGTTTTTAAAAGATTATACTGCTACAATACGTTCTTTGACAAGAAGACTACTCTTCAGATCCAAAGCTAAGTAAGAGACGTGTTTCAAGCCCATCAAGGTCATAAAATCTTTGTTTAGGAACAAAGTTTCACCCTTTCACGATCATGAAAGAACGTTACAATTAGTAAACTGATACACAATGATAACAAGGAATCAAATATTTCTCAAGACATTGGGTGTCGTGCTTACATGATTTCCATTTTCATATAACCAATGTAATCAAATCACTCTATACCCTATTGGTGACAATAAAGTTAACCAATTACTTTTTTTGGTTTTTAAGAATTGACTAATTTGGGAGACAGAGATCCAATTTTACAGCCGAAGTAACCGTTTGGCGCGTCTAAACTCCATAATTTCATTTCCTTTTGAAGGATCCTAAACCCAGAAAAAGATCACCCTACAAAGAACATCCTCATTCCGATCGGTTCTTCGTAAGATCGGATTCAAAAATCGATATATAAATTCTTATTTCAAAGGTACGTCGTCTATCAAAGCTAATTATTATATAATACCATCATAACGTTGTTACCCATTGGTGATGAATTTGTTCATAGGGTTTTCTTGGGGAAGAAGAAACCAAAGGTACGAGGTTCTCATTAGCTAAGAATGGTGAATTTTACAACCATCATGATGATTGTGATGATGATGATGGTGGATGATTGGGTTGTAGCATCAGATAATAACCCGGTGTACAGTCCATGTTCAGACACTCAAATAAGCAAAGGAGATGGTTTCACCATTGGTATTGCCATCTCCAGCAAAGAAGCTTTCTTTCTTGACCAAGTCCAGCTTTCTCCTTGTGATTCTCGTCTTGGTTTAGCTGCGAAAATGGCGCAGCTCGCGCTTTTTAGACCAAAGGTTGACGAGATCTCTCTTCTCTCCATCGACACAAGTAAGTTTAACCCGGTAAGTCTTACACTAATATATAAAATCTCAAGTGGGACAAAATCACAAAGAATAAAGAAGTAAAGCTTATGAATGCCATCTTTTTGTGGGATGTGTGTCTTGTGAGAAGAGTGAAGCAGGAGGATTCATGGTGGGATTCGCAGGCTCAAAGTATGCAGCAAGATCTAGTCCTGTGAAGGTCGCAGATGGAAGCAACACAATCACAGCTTTCACACTTGTAATGAACAACCCTAAGCCCTTTTGGAAACAAATAAGCAACATAGCATACAATAGAGCACTGAATCGCTGAATTGGCAACTGCATTGCAGGTATTGGAATTTCAGAAGGGAGTGTTGCAGAATCTGTTCTGGAAGAGCTTCGGATGCGATTCGTGCAAAGGAATAGGATCTTCTTCTTCTTCTGTGTGTCTGAATGGGACGGATTGCGCGGTTCCAACATCAAAGTGCAAGGCTAATGGAGGTGAAGCTAACTGCAACATTGGAATTCAGGTGGCGTTTTCGGGAACAGACAAGAACCTCGAGTCATTGAACACTTGGTACGAGGTAAACAACCTGAGGCAGTACTCGCTTACTGACCTCTACGCAAATGCTGTAGATTCTCTGAGTGGTGGGCTGCTGTAAGAGAGAAAAAGTGTAATGCAGGTACTATGTAATTGAGGTTCCCAAATAGGTTTTGAACCTTCATGTCCTCGCAACAAGTTACAATGATGAAGCAAATAACTGACCCTCCATTCCTCCAAGTAATTTTTCCATGTTTGCAAACAAAAACTACATTTCAATGAACTAATTTCCACACACAAGAGGTTTTATATACAGAACCCTTTTGTCATTGTTGTATTCAAAACCCTCCCAGATTGATACTAGCACTTGTTTTTATACACATGGATGAATATTAAGAAGGACCCCAAAAAATCCCCAAGAAACAAAAAGATCAAAAATTAACATAGAGAGAGATAAAACTGGTTCAAGTCAATCATAGGCTACCTCCTCCATATAAACATGTGTTATTACTCTGACCGACAGTGCGGATTCTCCCTTATGTCTCTTAACAGATCTTGCAGCTCAGGGAACACCGATCGGAGTAGCAGCTCTAGTATTGCAAATGTGAGTTGCTTTATGCATACGTTTGACTGCGGTAGATGATTAATGTCAAGTATTAGTCAGACCATAACGATGGATGATGATGCAACAACTTAGTTAAACCCTTTACACCAAAAACAAAACAAAAAAAAAGCTTTTAAATGTGAGACACAGATCAATTCTAACCTGAGTAAAGTAGAAAATGTCTCTCGCACATCTCCTGTACTGCTTGTGCCCTACCAAGCTCACTAAGGCTGTTGGGGCGCCATCTGACCAAACATCAAAATGTTACTTCCACTGAGACTAAACTAACTCAATACGTCAATTGGAGAGAACCTAAGATACTCACCGAAAAGGAATTTTTTTATTTCACTAGCTCTGCGTGCAGCCTCGAGTTGCTGCTCAAAGGAACTGGGTTTAGCCACCTTCATGCCACCGAGTTGGCCTGCTATTTGGAAAGTTTTTTCACTAGGGTCGGTCTCATCCAATTCCTCTTGACTGTCATTCACTCTGGTAAAGAATACACCATTTGGCCATAGAATCTGGAGAGAAAATGCAAATAAGATTGTAAGCAACAAAAAGAGCGATCACTTTACTAGTACTATTATTTGATCTGCCTTCCTGCAACAATCAAAGTAAACTAGAAATATCTGGCATAATGATTTCCCTTAATGATCACCGACTTTTCTACATGAGTTATAATAGATTTCAGCGAATGATCAAACATGATGGCAGGGTCCCTAAGAGTATAGAAGAAGATTCAGTTAACTTCTGGACAAGATCAGAGAAACCCCAATTCTTACATCTTGAGCCCAACGAATTCCTTGAGCGACAGTGTCTTCATTCCGCAGCCAACATATCTCCCTCAGGAGTAAGTCATCCACAGCATCTTCCATAACTAATTGTAATATTTGCTTTGATATCCAGAAGACTTGTCTCCTATAATGACACCATATTAAAATTATTCGAAAACGGAACCTAATCAAATAGAATAGCATGATCAAAGACAAATAAAATCAGAAAGAATAACTACTTTGTCTCACCTTAACCAACCTCTTCTATTTAACTGAAACACTTTATCAACTAAGTTCAAAATTGGTACACTGACATTGGGCGGCATCCACTGTAATGAAAAACAGAGGATAAGAATGACGTTAATCAAAATTAGAAGATTCCAAAAAAGTAGGCTAAAATCTCTTTGGAGAATGTATCAATAAGTATAATTCTATTTCAGGTGCGTGAAAAGTAGTGCATGTAGTCATGAAAGTTTTTAGCCAGGTAACATACATAAGCCTAATTACAAAGTCTAATCAATGTATATAAAACTTTAGGGGTATATGGTGTACCTCGGGTGGCATGCCATGGGGATTTTGGACTAAAGCTGTCAATGGATCAGCATGCTGCAAATCAGTGAACCCCCTAACTTGAGATTTTGCCTTAAAATCATTTTCCTTCTCCGAGAGCGAACTCTCAGGCTCTCCGAGACGCCTAACCACTCTCGGTGGAACATACTTTGAGTCCAATTCATTATCTGAGTGCCACCCATTGGCTTCTGAGTCAAATCTGCCTTCCCCTTGGGTGTTCTCTCCAAGTTTGTCGATGTCTTCAGTATCAGAAATGCTGCTGTGCATAGACTCAGTTGCGCTTTCCCTAGAGAGCTGAGTGCTTATTTCATTTACACTCCAGGAGAGGTGGCGGGCAGGAGCATGATCATGCTCTTCTAGTGGGGATCCTACAACTTTGCGCATAAGGCCATCTGAGACACCTTTGAAACTACGTACAATATCGTCCATGGCATCATCAACATTAACTGCTCAATTCCAAGAACAAAATTAAGTAAAATGGAAAAGTAAAGCAACCACATAACACAATGTACACTTCTCTCTTCATTCTGATCGTTTTCCCAGAATTCAGTTTTTTAGCATAAAACAGGATGGATTAAAAATATTTTATTAATGGAATAGAAAGCGAGGGCTGACTTTTATGCTACATACATGTTACTAAAACAGCAGCGAACAATACCTGCAAGAGTTTTCATCACTGATGAAGACTTTCCAAAAGAATAATTCTACAGAACAAAAAAAGACAATCATTAGAACACATCCACCTAATGAAAATAGAAAGTAATGAAATTTGTGGGCGGCATTTAATCAGATCCACACCTTAGAGGCTGCGCTTAGAAAATCCCAAACTTCATGCTGTTCAGCAACATTAGCTATACACAAGAGATCCTGCAGCCAAGGAAAAAATGTCTTTATAAGAGAAATGTTGATGGTAACTATGGTTTTAAAGTTGCTAAGGGGATAAATAATACTTGTAGATACTTGTCCAGCTGAATACAGCGGCGATGAACAAAAGCATCTTCGGTGCTTGATGAGAAAATACGCTTGGGAGGCAGCTGTAAATTGTAATTCGGGATTTCTTTGAGTTGACGATGTAATCGCTCGAAATTACTGTATCTGAAGGGAAACAAATAAATATTTTACAATCAAGTTGCAGCTATCTTCTGCCTTTTACGATGGAAATATATATCAAAAGCTAGTGACATGAGTAAAGAATTTCAATGATGTACTGATATGATTTTCCCGTAATCAGAATGCTAAGAAAATAACCTTCTCTTAACAAACCAAGTTTTGTTTTCCACATCTGTCACCGCAATAGAATATACTGCAAATGATTTTGATCCTTGCTTCTCAAAATAAGCTCCAAGAACCTGCAGCCACACACAGACATACGAAATAATAATCTTAAGCTAATAATAGCATAATTATTTGCAAAACACACACACACACACACACTCATACACAGGCAAATGGAAAAGGTCAAGTGGATGTGTCACAGAAACAAAGAAAATTAAAGAAACAGTAAATATTAAGACAGGAGCTTACTCGACATTTGAGCTTTAGGCAGTGCTGACCCTCTTTGTGAAGAACAATGCTTTGGGATTTATTATCACTAATGTAGTTATCATTGTGCTTGATAAAATCTGTGGTGTAAAATTCTGTGATTAGAGGCCCCTCACTGACTCCTAATAGTGCTAGACTTGTTTCAGGACGTAGATTAAGATCTGATGTACTATTGGATCTTTTAAGCCTATTTTTATTCCCATCTGAACGAGAATCCTTTCTAACATCAGCCTCATAAATCTGGTGCCCTCCATCATGTAAAGATGATGTACTAAATTCCTCAGTCATCTGTGCTTGTGACTGCTTATCAATGCTCACTTTAGGGGGTAACTGCGCCACTGCATTTTCCTTTGCTCCAGTAGAAGAACCCTTTTTCAGAGATTTTTTGTACTCCTTCTTTTGATAATTCCTTCCTTTCGTCCACATGTTTTCAAGGTTTTCAGGAGTAAGAACTTCTGTTCTCCTTTGCGTCGCAACCTCTAGCAACCGAGCCCAATCTGCAGAGTGCTGTTGAACGTGTAGATCTGGGTGTCTGTCATTTATGTTTGGTGATTTCTGCTCAATAGCTTTTGTGAAATTCATACTTTTTGCTTGACTATCGAAGGCTGACAATGGGGCAGAATTGACATTCTGCTCTTCCCCAGTGAACTGCTCAAAGTTTCCCTCTTTAATAAGATTGATAACGATCTCAATCACCTCATTGATACGCCTGGGGCAGGAAAAAAAAAATATTAGCATCTCTGCCTTAGAAAAATGAAAGGCAGAGTTTGAAGTAAATGGCAAGCACTGAAGAGAACCCAGGAAAAATGATACATTTATCTGCAGTTATTCTTTTTATACATTATATTTTATCAATAGAAATTCTGGAATCAATACTTGTTCCTAGCTAGTTTGCAGTATACACATCGGTCAAGGAAAAGACTGAAAGGTAGATTTTGATACCAAAAATAATTTTCTAGAAGACAGAGATATATGTAGAGAACTTACTCGGGGCATGCTAAATTCAAAAGAGGTTGAATTACTAAGGAAGTAACAATCTCTCTAGCTATTGTTCGAACAAGAGGGCACTGAGCTTCTCGTGGTCTGAGAACCACAGATAATATGCCAGCAACTATTTTCTGAAGAACCTGTTAAAAAAACAAAGAGCATATATGTATAGAGTAACCAAATTAAGAGGGCAGCGTAATTTTCATCAGAACTATCCCTCATACCTTGTACTCACTCTCAGGTGACACGAGTGCAGGATAGAGTTCCCCAGAAGCCATAAGATGGTATTTCAATCTTTCATCTCTCTCCTCAGATGACAATGTCTTCATAACATCAATACCTATAGCAGCTTGGTTTCTTCTAAAACTTTCCAAATGATCACCTATCAGATCAACTATATCCCTACACAATTAGGCATTGATTTCATTATCAAGCAGTAATGATCCAATCAAAACTCGAGACTTTTTCAGGTGAAAAGTTAACTGATATAAGGGAAGAGAAATAAAGAAGGCTACCTCGTCAGCAAGTCAACGATATTGATCTCTTTTACCCTCACTGAAATTTCACCAAGAGCATCCATGATTACTGCACGTATGAGTTCAGGCGCTTCTTTATCAGGCGTAATCAAAGAGTACCACAAATTCACCACGAAATCATTAAGGATCTTGTCAATAAAATCATTAATTGCAGCTTCCACTACAGGAGAGTCGATTTTCTTCTTCCACCTAGGAGGAGGTGGGATACCAGAAAGACGTGCATCATTCACAGACAACTGCTTCTTCTCAAGATAAGACAACTGACTTTTTCTAGGAGTCGACACAACTTTCCATGTGAATTCAACCTGATTAAGAAAAATCCGCACACCGACAAGACCAAGGATTGCGATTGGCAAATTCATCAACATATTCTTACTTGTATCTGCATGAAACCACAAAAGAATCCCAAACAAGGAAAAAAAGCAGAGATTTAGCATATAAATATAGTCGAACAAAAACATTATCTTAACACCAACACCATAATATATAGAGAAACAATGTATATAAAGATTAAACTTTGATTCCAAACAAATAAACTAAGAACAGAGTAACCAATTACTCTATAGACTAATACCAATATACCATTGTAGAAGTTGTTATCTAAAATTAGGAAGTCCAAAACTGAAACAGCAAAATCGAAGAGAAAAAAAGGAGCAAAAAGTGACATACGGGACAAGAAATAGGTGACGGAGAAGATGCACAAGGCCCACCATACGGCCCTTACTTTAGCTTCTTCGATCAGATCCTGTATAGTCTCCATCGCCTTCATCTTCCCACTGAGAAAAACGCCGAAATTGGAGACTAATTCCAACGAAATTCGATCCAATTTGAGCTTTTTCAATCTCAAATTTCTTGAAAACAATCCCTAGCTACTGTGATGGAATCGAGATGCTGGAATTGAAGAAATTCAAGTGAAGCTGGACACAAGATCGTAGAGAATTGAATCAAGAGTAATGATGATGATCAAACATGGAGGATTCTTCTCTATTCTTCATCAACCTATCTGGCTTTTTTTTTTTTCTCTTATTAGACTGCGGAGACAATTGTTCTGGACGAAACTACGATGTCGTTTGGTATCGGATTCGATTAGACTTTAGAGATTACAAGTTCTTTATTTGCACCTTCGACAATTTGTAATTTTCCAAAATTGTATTTAAGTACAGTAAAATATCTATAAACTAATAATGTTAAAACCGTAAAATTCTATTCAAAGTATTAGTTTATCAATATATTAAATTATAGTGAGATTTGACTAATTTATAATTTTTTAAAACTTATATTTGAAAAGAAGTTCTCTTTTTTTTAATAACCATCTTTGTAGAACCAATATTACAAGTTAAAAAATAATAATGTTGTCTAGGAAACGATTCAAAAAGTTTTTGATGCAGCAAAAATAATAAAATTCAACTTTACCAAGAATTAATGCAAATTTAAGAAAAACAAATAGTACTACAATCATATTTCTCTAAATTTTATTTTTATATATATATATATACATACATATATGTATATATTTATATTACAAATTTATACTATTAATTTATGTTACTGGTTGGACCATATGTTATTATAAAATTTTCAAAAAAAAATATTATCTTATTATTTTATCAAATTTTTTTTTTTGGTAGGAGGAGTAGAGACAATTGTCTCTACCAATTTATTAACACAATTTATTATTTTATCAAATTGTGTTAAAAATTATACTAATGCAACTCTTACTGGTTGGGCTTTAATATTATTTGTAATGGTTTATTTTGTAAGATCTGTGTTTGTAATAGAGTAATTGTTTTTTTTTTTCTAATATGTAAACCGAAGTAAAAACCGAATAAACCGGAGAAATAAAAAACCCGGCTCATGTTCAAAACAAAAATTTTAGCTAATAACTGACCCGAACAAACCGATTACCGAACCGACCCGAACCGAATTTCAATTCGGGTCTATTCGGTGGGATTTTTAAAAAACCGAATTTCCCTCAAACCGAATAACCCGATCCGAACAACCCGGTTTAGCCGAACGCGCAGGCCTAATTGTGACTACTGGAATGAGTTGTGTTTTGTGTGGGACATGCGTGATCGCTTCCACTGAATAAATTTGTTTTTAGGCATCCCTCTCTCTCGCCCTTTTTATTTTCTTCAAGACTTCAAGTTAATTAATAAATGTTGAGAGTTCCGATTCAAGGTTCTAATTGTTGGTGAAGTTTTTTGAATGAGGGAAATTTAAACGAGGTTCAACAAGAATTTTAGAAACTGCTCTCACAAAAGAAATAATAATAATAATATTCATAGATTATACTTTTATTTATATTTTAAGCAACTGCATTACATTTTTTTCTTCTTAAATAACTCAATTTTACATTACTTTAACCAACTATAAAATAAATAACTTTTCTTAGGAATATCGGTATATCCATGAACACCATCCTTTTCAGCTTTCCATGTACAATTTGCACATCTATAAAAATCTCTATTCGCTCTGTAAATTTCGAACACGCCTTTCTTTATTTTTCCTTGGCTAAAACCACAAAAATAGAGCGTTGAATAACGAAAATTGACATGAAACTTCCAACCAAATAATTCACCTTTAGCAAGAATGTGAAATCCTAAATCATCATCTCTTGATTTACAATGGATTCCAAGAAGATAGTCGTTATCATTTTGAATCGTGACTCTCGTAAGATGACCTCGAGGTGGTTCTTTAGCTTGTTGAATTGGAAAAGCTTCTGAACATATCAAAGATATCACAACTATGGACATAGTGAAAATTGAGCAGAAATAAGAATTGAGATTTTTTCTGGATGAGTTTATCATGACTGTTGGTTAATGATAGCTTTTTTTGAGATATGTAAAATTTTGTAGAGTGATATATATCAGCTTTTAAAGAAAATAGATATTTATCTTGATTAACCTAAATTAGGAAAAAATCACTAGATATATTTTCATAATTACAATAAATGGAAGTTGTTTAAATAACCCACAATAATCAAGATTTTTTTCTCCAAAACTACTATACTTCCCAATTTTATCCTTCTTATTTTTGAAATAACATTAATTCATATATAAAATAATTAATAGTACTCCCTGTGTTTAGGAAAACAGAGTAATAGATGTTTCCATTAAATAACCTTGAAACCAATTGTTCGTCTACTCATCAAGCAAAACCAAATATGGATTCTGTAAGATGAGAGTCAATTCATTCATTAGGGAAAATGATTTACAACATATATAGTACTTAGACTATGGTTTAGACTAATACTAATTACAATTAGATCCTTAATATTTACAACTCCTTATACACACCCTCAAGATGGAGGGACTTCTTGCACTCCAATCTTGCAAATCAGTTCAGTAATGCGTGGCCGTGGAAGTGGTTTTGTTAATGCATATGCGAGCTGATCCTTTGTTGAGACATGGGATACACGGAGAGCACCTGATTGGATATAGCCACGTACGAAATGATAATCAAGAGCAACATGCTTCTTACGTGAGTGGAAGACCGGATTCGCACATAGATAAGTAGCCCCTATATTATCACAATAGATTACCGGTGCAGTGGATAAAGGAATGCCCATTTCTGTCAAGAGATTGCATATCCATCGCAGTTCCGCAGCTGTGTTAGCAACTGCGCGATATTCCGCTTCCGTAGACGAACGTGCCACACTCCGCTGTTTCTTCGAGGACCACGAAACCGGGCTGCCACCAAAGTACACAATATATGCATTCGTGGAGAGATAAGCATCCGAATCACAACCCCAATCAGCATCTGAGAAGGCATGTATGGTAAGAGGTGTATCCGAGCGAAGAAATATCCCATGTGACTTGGTGCCCGCAAGATATCGTAAAATCCTTTTAGCCGCTTGCCAATGTTCATTTGTGGGATGATGCATAAACTGTGAAAGGCGATTCACCGCAAAAGCAATATCCGGTCGCGTAAAAGCCAAATATTGGAGACTCCCAAGAATCATTCTATACTCCGTTGCATCATCTAGGGCCGTACCTGAGAGGAGAGATAGTTTCGGTGTTGGAGACATTGGTGTTGAAACAGGCTTTGTGTCAAGCATGTTATATTTTTGAAGTAGATCATTTATATACTTGCGCTGCATCAAGTGTAAGCCTCGGCGGGTTCTTGTTGCTTCGATTCCCAAAAAGTAACTGAGGGCTCCGAGATCTTTGAGTGAAAACCGAGCTGCAAGTGAAACATTGAAAGCTTTGACAAGAGCAGTATCTCCCGCGATGATAATGTCGTCAACATATACCAAGACATAGATAAAGGCATTGTTCCGATGATAGATGAAGAGAGAGGCATCAGCGAGAGAATTTGCGAAACCGGCTTGGAGAAGAAAACTGCGAAGTTCTTGATACCAAGCGCGAGGCGCTACTCACATTAGCTACTAATTCACATTCAAATCGACGAACTTTTTCTAATTGGAATTTGGATTGGAGGAAGGAGAAGCTCGATTTTCAAACAGTCGCTAGTGTATCCATCTTCGGAAAGTTAATTCCGGCAAGCCACAAGCAAAAGTCAGGAGTAACACCCGTACGAGCAAGCTGAATTTGCACTTGAAGTTTTGATTTTAGGGACTGTCTGTAACCTCCATAAGTTTGATTGCCAATTAAAAAGAAGAATGAGAGTGGTAGGGGCCCGCTGAAACTAAAGTGATTCCATAACAAGACAACTGGTATTATGATAGGTTGGCTATACCTTTAGCTTTCATCAGGAAGAAACATAGGACATCAGGGAGAAGAGCAAGCCGTCTGGAGAAGAAGATGTCTCAAAGTGGCTAAGTGTTTCAAGAAGTCAAATCCTAGCAATGAAGACTCGAGAGAAGAAAATCCTTATACCATAAATAAATAATTGTCATTGCTGGGCCAGAAGCTAGTTATGGGGCTTGAGAATGAGTCCTTTTATCTATCTATTTTATGAACCCCATCTGTTTAGGGTTGCCCTATGCATCCTAGTATAAAAAATTTTTAGTAACCTTGTAAGAGACATCGATAAAGAAATCAAGTTGATATTTCTTTCTCTCTGTTTCTCTTCTTTCTCAACTCTTCCTCCGTTTTCCCCCATTTCTGGTTACTTCAAGTTCTCGGTCGTATCATATTATTGAACCGGTAATGAGGAAATCTTTAAGAACCAGGTGGGAGTCATTTAACGATATGATCATTCCCTGGTAAGAAATGGTCTTATTGCAGGCCAATTCCAGAGTTTAGTACCAGCTTCAAGTGAGTCTGAGACTCGGAGATTTAACTGATCCTCTGGTACAGCTCCAACTGGAGTAAGAGACTGAATAAGAGAGAGAGCCATGGGTTCTTCGACACCCATATATTTTTTATGGAGTCATGGCAGTATTATTTTAGCCAATAGCATTCGAGCAAGTAAGGAAGTTGGGTTCTTGAGTTTTCCCCCACTGACTTTTGCGAGAGCATCATTGTTAGAGTAAGCTTGAAGAAAAAGTAACTTGAGGAATAAGTTATTTATTTAAATGAAGAGATTATTATTAAATCTTTGGAAGTTATCCATTGATATATGTTAGGAGTTATCTAAAACATATTATACTTTGTTTAGGAAATTAATTTTTATGGGTCTCTATATAAGAGTTGCCAAAGTTTGTGGTAAACCTAGAGAATTGAGAGAGAGATTAAGGAGAGCTTTAGTTTGAGTTAGTTCTAATGTTAATAAAAGAAGTACTTTTATAAATCCTTGATCAAAGTATTCGATTCTAGATTTGGTATCAGAGCCTTCAGCTTTGTTTCTCAAGTGTTGACAAGTACGAAGATCATCCGAAGCATGAGTGAATTGGTCACGATGGATAACAAGCCAAAGGAAGGAGGACCATCATCCATACAATGTTCGATGTTAAACAGTTCCAACTACACTGTTTGGACCATGAGGATGAAGGTTGCTCTCCGAGTGAATAAGGGGTGTGGGAGACAACGATCCTGGTTCAGAGGACATAGAGAAAAACGAGATGGCCTGAGCCCTCTTGTTTCAATCCATACCAGAGTCGCTAATTCTACAAGTTGGCAACCATGAAACCTTAAAAGCCGTTTGGGATGCCATCAAAGCTAGAAATCTTGGTGCCGATCGAGTCAAAGAAGCAAGATTGTAAACCCTTATGACTGAATTCAATAGATTGAAGATGAAAGAGAGCGACACCATTGATGATTTTATCAGGACTACAAAAGCAGCATCTTTGGGTGAGAACATTGAAGAAACAAAGATTGTTAAGAAATTTCTCAAGAGCTTGCCAAGGAAGAAATACATTCATATAATTGCAGCCCTAGAACAAGTTCTTGATCTCAAAACAATAACCTTGAAGATATTGTAGGAATGCTTAAAACATAAGAAGATCAAGTTTGTGATGAAGAAGATTCACAGAAGACCAAGGCAAGCTCATGTATGTTAACTCAGACTCCCAAGATGGTGGTAGAGGACGAGGCCGTGGTCGATTTGCCGATTTGGAAGAGGCCGTGGAAGGTTTGGTTACCAATCCAGAGATTACGGTTACCAACTAAGGGAGTTTGGCTATCAACAGAGAGACAAGTCCAAGGTAACATGTTAGCGATGTGACAAAACAGGGCAGTATGCTTCGAACTGTCCGGATCGATTTCTCAAATTAATCAAGCTTCAAGAAATGCAAGAGAAGGAAGAAGATGATACTCATGAAGCTGAATCACTTATGATGCATTAGGTAGTATATTTGAATGAGAAGAATGTGATGCCAAAAGACTTTGATACATGCTCCGAAAAGCTTGGTATCTCGACAATGGCGCTAGTAATCATAGGACAGGACATCGTGCTTGGATTTGCAAGATAAATGAGATGGTCACAGGTAAAGTAAGATTTGGGGATGATTCACGTATTGACTTAAAGGGTAAGGGTTCAATTTTGTTTGTAAGCAAAACCGGAGGACGAAAGATCCTAGCCGATGTGTATTATATACCAGACCTTAAAAGCAACATCATAAGCCTAGGACAAGCCACTGAATCGGGATGTGATGTCAGAATGAAAGAAGACTACTTAACCTTACATGACCGAGATGGAAACTTGTTAGTAAAAGCAACACGATCAAGATACAGGCTGTTCAAAGTGAATTTGGAATTAGAAGAAACCAATTGTTTGCAGCTTGTGGCATCAAGCAATTCAACAAAATGGCATGCTCAACTTGAACACATTAACTTTGAAACCATTAAGACAATGATTGCAAAAGAACTAGTCATACGGATACCTAGTGCTCCAAAGGTAAAAGAAACATGTGCATCCTGCTTACTTGAAAAACAAGCAAGACAAATGTTTCCAAAGAAAACTTCGTATCGTGCATTTCAAGTCCTAGACCTTGTTCACAGTGATCTCTGAGGACCTATATCGCCTCCTACAACTGCCAAAAAGAGGTACATATTTGTGTTAATCGATGATCACTCTTGTTACATGTTGTCGATTTTGTTCAAGGAGAAAAGTGAGGGAGTTGAGAAATTCAAAGGTTTCAAGATGCTAGTTGAGCAAGAGAGTGGTGCTAAAATCAAAACACTTAGAACGTATAAAGGAGGAGAGTTCCTGTCTTATGAGTTTCAAGATTTTTGTGAAAGAGAAGGCATCAACAGCCATCTAGCAGCGACATACACTCCTCAGCAAAACGAAGTGGTTGAAAGAAGAAACATGACTTTAATTTGTTGGAGATGACTAGAAGTATATTGAAACACATGAGCATGCCAAATTATCTGTGGGGAGAAGCGGTGAGACATTCGACTTACCTCATAAACAAAGTAGGGACAAGAGCCTTATGTCACTGCCCATTCTCTTAAACATACTTCCGGGCCGGACCAGAAGGACACATTACATCTTTATGGGTTTTTTCCCCATTTCATGGGCTGGATCTTCTCTAGAATCTTGTAGAAACGTTTGGAGGAAGATATGGAAAGACTTGGGGGATATTTCTCAAGACTTTGTCCCCAAGAAATATCCCTACAAATCCGTCACATTTATTAGGATCTTGCTAATCAAGGCCATATCTTCAATATCGGCCATTAGATCGCTTTATTCTCCACCGTCCATTAAAGAGGTGTTTTTGTATAA